AATAAGTACAGGCTGATGCACATCGATGATCGATCTTTTCGCTCTCAAACCCTCTGAAAAATTTATCTCTCAATGAGAGTTAAGTGCCAACAGCAATGAACAACCGATCTGTGAAATTCAAAGAGCTAATGATCTTGAAGTCGAAGGTAACCCGGTGGGTCCCACCACTCTATTTTGTCTGGTTATAGGAACTGATCTAACCAAACGTCTACGAAACCTGCGGTGAAAGATGGTGTAGAGTACTGGATTGACAAAAAACGATATCCTGGCAAAAACGCTGCATGAACTTGTCGTCAAGGGGCTTATGTTGATCCCTGAGACAAGAAGGAAGGATACCACTACGTAAGGCGACCACGGGATTAGAAATGCGGCTATGATAGTTAAAAAGTACATGGCAGATTTACGGTGCCGTTTTAAGAGAGCATGAGTCGCAGTTACTGCTAGGCAACCCATCCGCGAAGTGTTGACAACGATATGCCTAGAAACTTTGTGGATCTTGTAATAGCAAAACGTTATCACAGTCAGTGGTAAAAAATAACGAGCAACGGTTACAGTTCCAAAATATGCCTGATCTGCTGGTAAATACGATCGCCATTGTACTGAGCATGTGGCGTTTGTACCTTCCGGACCATATCTTGACCATCCAACCAAAGGCCCCAAGCTGAAGCCAAGTGAGTACATCCAGGAAAACAAGATTATAAGCATCACCTTTTTCTTGTTGAAGTAAGAGTTTCTTGAAAGAGATCTGGTGATAGTCAGGTATTTTCCCGCGGAAATGGCGGCCAAATGGGCGATGGAGACCAGTGCCAGAAAAGATATCAAAAAAGCATGAGCGCGACATCCACGCACACCAAATGGCCATTCCTTCTGAAGGTGCTTGGCTATCGACAGTGGAAGAGCGATGGAGCATGAAAGAAAATCACTCACTGCGATACTAAGAATGAGATACGTCGGAGGAGATAAACGGTAGATGTTCTTGGAAATTGTATAAATTACTAATGTGTTAAACGTGATTCCTAACAAGCATACCGTGAACTCTACAGTCACAAAGATTATGTTCCACTTGCTCATTGTATCCATCCTCCCTCTCTCTTTTAGCAAAAACCTCGAGTTTCAAGGAAGAACCTTATCCTTTCCCCTTCCGTGATCTCTTAACAACATGGCAGTCTTAATGTTTCAATTATAACCGTTATTTATTCAGCTATGATAGATCTTCCCTTAAAGACTGCTCTCCCTTCGGCGATTATACTTAGCCGCTACCGGTGTCGTCGTTTGTTTTTGTGAAAAAAAAGAGCTGTTGTCGTGCTAAATTATCGGTGTCGAAGGTTTGATTAATTCAAAATCAGAGCGTGATACCCTTGAGGAATAGAAAAATATCTTTAGTCGAGTTTGATTGGAAATTTTATTACAATCAATATGAATAGGGCGAGATTTGATTCAATTTCTCTTTTCCATGGTTTTTTCCTAGAAAGGCAATCTTTCTGATATGCGCTTTAAATAGCTAAGCTTTTAACTCTAAGCTCTTAAAAATAATTTAAACCCCTCAATTACTGCATTTAAGAGTCGGTTTAACTCATAGGAGATTTACGTAAATAGATCCATCTAGTCCGTCCATTTACAAAAAAAACCTTCTTCAGTCCCAAATGGCTAACATAAATACCCTGCTTCAGCGAAGACTCGAGGAAACCAAAGTGACAAAGAGTTAGGACTTGGTAGTCTATGCTGAAGGGATTGCAGATCTAATTAACAAATATCCGCGCGTGATAATGAATAACGTCTTCCTGTTTGACGACCAAATTTATCCTTTACCACCCTCATCATCTTTTTTCCCGCAGGCAGCTATTGACATTGCTCATCTTAGCTGTATGCGCAGTAGGCCTCTAAGAAATAAATTCCGCATTAACCCGTTTCTTCGTAGATCAGGGTAAAACAAATGATCAAGAAATCGGAAGGTAAGTTGTTGAAAGCTTCGGAAGGGGACGTGAGGTAGTTAGAAATTTGTTCTTTGTTCGGAGCTCATCAATGATTAATATTTTTCTCTGCCTTCTTACATTGTCAGCAATTTAAGTCAAATCACATCCGTTCTTTGTCGGAGACCTTTGCTCGCGCCTTTTTTTCCCGGCCACTCTTTCTGTTTTGATCATTTGTTATTTCATTTCCGTTTGCTGAAGATTTTTTTATATTTTTTCAGTTGCAAGCCACAAAGAACCCCTAGTGTATTCCACCTTTTTTTGCCGCTGTTCATGTTGCTTCTTTCTCGCTTTAAATTTTGGCATAACAACATGAAAAAACAATGCACTTCTTTCTCCGGTGTGTTTTTCTTTCTTATTATGGCCTTTATCTTTAATTTTACACTCCTCCATTGTCATCTAAAACAAAAATGGAGGAAAACTTGCGATGCAATATACAATTTTTTTGTGCGTTTTGCAGGTTGTTGTTTTGTTGTCTTATATCAGGTTATTTGATGTCCTCTTATGATATCCTTTCTAAAGTTAACTTCAGCATGATAAAGATTGCGACAAATTCTTTCCCAAGAATTGTTATTCAATGTTTTCCCTTTGTACATACAAATCCTGGAGTCGTCCAGTTTATAATGAATAAGAGCTCATCGCGTGCTCGTGAAGCAATCCACTCGAACAGGATCGGTGGATGGCAGTGCCCTATATTCATTTTGTGTTCCTGAGGGTAAGGAAAGTACACCTCCTTAATCTATCGTTCTTATGTACGATCACTTCATTTTGAATTTACAGTACCTTCTTTTCATTATGTGTTCTTTTAATCTGATTTTTTCTGCACAAAGAGAAGGGAGATACGTTCTCAGGAAAATGTTAGTATCTTATGTTCATTTAAATACTTTTGAAATGCCACGCCATTGATTCCAAGAATTCTTCTCACTCTTAATTGGCTGGCTGAACCTGCAAACAGAACTTCATACCTGTCTGCCATGACGTATTCGTCGATTATTTTGCTGAAGACATGTCTCTCCCAAAAACTAAGGAGAATGAGTCACCTTGGAGGGAATAAGGCGCCTGAACCTTTGAGAGGGGCGACGAAAGCAGTCAAAAGGTACTTTATCAGAAGACGAGCATTCCAAGGGAAATGTTGCCTTTAACTCCTTACAAAAAAACCGGACCAATTACAACATATTAGTCAGTAGGGATTTTAAGAAAACCACGACGGCAACGGCAACGGGAACGTAACTAAACAAAGAGTTTAATGAGCAGAACAATGGCTGGGCACATGCGTTTTAAATCTTTGTAAATTTCTTTGCATCCTCTGCAAAACAGCAACGTGAAATGCGTTTTCTGGAGAACTTGAACGACGGCTGCTAATATTTCAAATTCTATTTATAATTTAACGCTGTGTTCCATTTTAAATTTTCAGATAGTTTTGACAATGAGAAATAAACAAAATTACCTTAGAATATCTTGAGATTCATTGGTAAAATAGAAGCCTATTTTTTAACCGACGTCGTTGACGGCGTCGCCGTCGTCGTTTGGTTCTTCAACATGTAGCAGTTGTGGTTGGCTCAAGCAGCCTCTCAACTTAAAGTTGGATTGTTTCAATACTCTGGTAGGATAGGAATTCCATATTTTCATTTCATCAAATTCATGTCAACGTGGCCAAGCAACTTTTTTTTAATAGTATTTTACCAAATCCTTATCTTAGAACAAAGAAATGTCCAAAATTTCCATTTCAAAGCTGTTTATACTTCAAGTCATGGCAGGTGATTTTTCCTCATCCGTGAAAACATTTAGCAGTCTCTTATCATATTGACAATTATTATCAGAGGAAGAAGAATGTTGTCAGTCGGATGGAAAGATGAAAATTCGGATCAATATCAGTATCTGGGCAACTGCCCATCTACCCCTCTCCTAACCCAACATTAACCCTAACTTGTGATCAATTTGGTTTAGGGGAGGGGTAGGTGGGCAGTTGCCCAGATACTGATATTGTTCCAAAAGTTTGACCAGGAGACCAAGTTAAAGTCGCTGACCACATAGAAGATACTGCAAAGATAAACAATTTGGAATTATTGAGTAACAGCAACAAAAATGGTTGCTATCTTAACTAAATACGAAGACTATTCTCCTCACTAACGGATGACCTCATTAATTCATCTCTGATCGTAAATAATTGTAATGAAAAAATGTATAATAGATTGGGTCGCAAAGAAACATTAACATCAGTTGTATTTCGGTAAAAAAAACTGTTATTGAAGGGAGGTGTCAAATTCCACGCTTTTAAACGAATGTTACAGACTCATTAACGGGAAAAAAGGTGCATGCGTACTTCGAACGCCCGTAGTTTTTTTTGGTGGGAAAATAATAATATTTTAAACAGCCTATACATAACATGGATTCAGCCTCCTAAAATGGTCAAATAACTGCGAAATAACATCGGCCTTCGATTTCGGTAAATGTATGTTAAACCGGCATGACTCGCCGTATTCTTGATAGAAAGGAGCCGTTAGGATCATAGTCCGTCTGGTTCGGTTCTTGCTTAAAGCAACTGAACTATTCATTAGTCACTCTATAAGAGATAAAATTATAGAAAAATAAAAAAATGCAATAGATTACAAAACCTAGATCGTAGTGACTGATTGAAGGTTTTCCGCAAACAAGACCAAACTTTGGTTAGTGTTTACATGAGGCATAATCAATTTATAACTCCTTATGCACTCAGTGACTATGCAAAAGAACGCAAACGCAACCAGGATTTAGCTATAAATTCATTTTGGTTGCTGGCGGAAGTTCTGAAACCCTTTGGAAAATGTTGATGTTGTTGTTGGGTTCAGTTGTTTAAAAGCGGCTAACGCTTTCCAACAAGTAAATCGCTATATTCAGCGGATAAGTGTTAACAAAATGTATTACTTTGTCCCTCGGATAGAGATTTAGCCAGTGGATAGCGTTATCCAGCCTATTGAACAACCGGGTTCAGATTAACAAGTTTAGATGAGTAAATTCACCATAAAACAAAACAAAAAAACAACGCATTCTTCCCTTCCATGTCCTGCTTTTTTATTACTATAATTATTTCCAGATTTTCCATTTGCTCCTCGACAATATTCTAGGAAAAAAAAGAGAAATACCTTAAGATTTGAGCATACAGTACTTAAATTTTTTTTCTCAGAGGGCACGGTAACAAATCCTGCAATCTGATTGGCTCTTAACGCGGTCCGGATTTTCCTATCTCTGCCCACGGGCACGGTAACGCTTTCGTAGTCACCGAGAACATCCCTAGCTCCGTTGCCATTTTTCGTCAATAAGTTTTGTTCTTCCAGCAGGGCAATATATTTTAAGCAAATCAAGCTGATTAACAACTTGTTCTCATTCAAAAGTGTAAATGCGCTTTTTTATTTTTCACGCGCTCTCTACTTGACAGGTGTCAGATTGTGACAGATACTTGTAAGCACATTTTTAAATAACCTCTATCATTACACAGAAAAAAAAAGAATTTCGGTTAAGCATTAATTTGCATTACCTCTGTTTTAACTACCATCAGTTCAGTTTATGGAGGATCTTGTCGTAATCACATTCGGGTTCTTTTAACCTGCATTTCGTTTTAGAAAAAATAAAAATGTTATTCACCAGCCTAGGTCGGTCCGTATTGGAAAAAACTGTGACCTCTGTTTTGGTACTCAAATCCTCGGGAACAGTTTTTCCCAATAGGAACCTCCCGGCCGACGAATAACATAAAAATCTTCTTGCGATCAATTTTACATCAGATTTTAATATATGCAAAAAGAAACAAAGATTTGGTCGGAGCCCCAATAATCCCGCATCTAACATTGAGAGTTTTGTTAAATAAAGGAAGGAAGAACATTTTCGTTAAAGGCTGAATTTAAAGTTATCAGTCGACCTAAGGAGGCTCCATACGGTTTTTGCTCAATGTTGGCGCGCGCGCGAAAATTTTTATTTCTTCGCTTTTCTAGGTCACTAAAACCATCAAAAGGCGATGAGTAAGGTTCGGAATTTCGTTTGCAGTAGGAAATATTATCAAAATGATTTTCGTTATAAAGCTAAGGCTCCACGAAGGGAGGCGCTCGCCAGTGATAACTTGGCTTTGCTTTTGATTTTGTAGCCCAGTAAATACTACATATTTACGCCAAACTTGAATGCACGTTTAATAACTCTCGTATAGACAAAAGTAAAGATGAAAGATGTGTAAATAAGTAAACGTGTAAACGTGTAGTATTTAGGTACATTTTATTCGAAATTTGTAATGTAACCAAGTCCGGTGGCAAAAACTCTCATACAAAAGTACCACGGCGCTAGCAAAAACCAACGAAACGACTGCCCTTGTTGAGGTCAACTAGCAAAAGAAAACTATCTAGCAAAAACGACGCTTAAACTACCTACCGGCGTTACGTAACTCTTACGTAACCTCACGCAAAAACGCGATAGAACTTCGCCAAGATCTGCATCTGAACATACGTAAACTTTCGAATCTTGCCACAGGAGTCCGTAGGTAATCTGACCTCACGTAAGCGGGCCATAATTTAAATGCAATTATGTAAGTAAATCAGTAACAATAAATGAAGCTCTACCATCCGTAACCAATCAAGAACGCTGACAACAAAACCTTTCGTATCTAGAGCAAAAGGTACTTTGTTAATAAGACATTTACTCGATCATCCTCTTGTTCTTTGCAGAAGTTTGGCGTAGGCGTAATATCAAGCTCAGATGAGCCAATAAGCCACAGAGCTATAAAAAAAAACCTTATAAGATGGTTTCCTTCTAATATTTCCTTTCCTAAAAGAGCTGATTTCCAGAATTTTTCATCTCCTGCTCGATAATGTCCCGGAGAATAAAGTTACAAAAATTTAAAAACTCTAAAAATAAAATAAATGCCAAGAAAAGAAGTCAAAAAAATTTAATGAGCGGTCAAGACACCAACGCATTAGTAAAAATTCTTTCTGCTGCCTCAAAAATAACGTGGTTCAATAAAAACTGTCACTACGGCTATCATCGAGGATTTGTCCCGCGCTGTATAATACGCTCTACACTCTAACTTTTTAATTCAATGCTGTAATGCAGTTTTCATGGCTGGCGATAAAAATCGATGCAAAACTGTGTTCTTCTGTCCGAAATATTATATGCGAAGATTATTTATCTCAGTCAAATGAATGATTTCCATCAATCTTCGACGTCTAACTTCGAGGAGACACATTACGCTTTTAATAGAACTGTCGTTATCCGCGGTAATAACGTTAAAATTTCCTTTTTACTTGGCTCCAGAGTAATTGCAAAAGACGCTGAGATTTCCTTTGATTAGCAAGCTGTCTTTCCCGTGCAAGACTGATCGCAAATATTATACCGATTTTTAAAACACATTTGTAATTTAAATTAGTTTCCCAACATTAATTGCCGAATAGGTAGGGTATATTTCGGCGGTAAAGAGGGCAGGCTCTTTTAACACGATAATGATCATTTTCGAGGGATAAGGGATTAAAAAGTATATAAAGTAGCCCCCAATAATGGACCATCGACAAAAAAACACGGTTCGATACAAGCCTGAAACTTTTTGTCAAAAAAAAAGATAAATAAAATAATAGCACTCTAATAATAATGATAACAAGGATGAAAACAAAAAACACTCATTTATCACAATCATAACGAAATAAAACATTGCAGCTTTTAGGAATTCTTGAATGGAAAAAAGCCTATCGTGAGCTTGACGAATGCACATGTAGTTGTAAGCTTGCTTTTCGGTTATATTTTGTTACAAAGAAAGCGAGTAAACAATTCATTCTGATCCAAATATCTAATAACTTCTTCTCATCCAGGCTCCGGTCGCAAACATAGCGGCATTGAATTTTTATAAATTCAAGAAAAATTAAGAAATGTCGCTTAAACACTTCAAATAGAGGATAAACTTTTATAACATGACGAACAGACCGCATTTTTGAAGGCATTTTAATCATCTTATGCATCAAAATTTTTTTCCAGTGGCTAATCGGTTTTAAAAACCCACTTTTTCGAAATCTGAGAGGTCCTGGGGAAAAAACTGCGTCCAGAATGGCAGCCAATATCTAGATATAAGAGGTTGAGGGGAAGTTAAGAACATTTCTTTTGCGTCGTGTGAAATATTTGAGACAATTTGAAAATGAGTTTTGACTTATGCAGTCCATGCTCTTGAAACAAGGAACCATCAACGGGTAAGGGCCGTCGTTAGGGGTCGGGGAGTGAGCGTAAAGTGAAAATTTTCAGTCGTGATTGAGGGATAACGACACAGAGTCAGAGAAAAAAAATTATATGTAAATATGCAACCAAAAGGAAAATTGCGCTTTAAATGTCGCAAAATAGTATCTGGTAAGATTTTAAGCGAGGGCCGCTGACTTGTTTCATTGCACTGATATCTGTTTCAAATTATATAGATAGACACAAATTTGTATTCCTTCCAGTCATTGGGATTTATTGTTATTCTATACTTTTATATCATTTATTTAGCTATTGATGCAGTGATGCAAAGCATGTTACATGCAACATACGGCAATAATATCAATGGACAAGTGGTCTACATGAATACAGACCGCTTGCATTTCCTTGTTGTTTTTTATCGGACAAAAACGAACATTTTTACAACCATACACATCGAAGACAAAATTATAACTTCAGGCGTTCAAAAACTTGATAGGAATCATAAAGAGGCTTTCTTAGTCTTAAAAAAAGAGCTCCAGATAGTTAAAAGTTTCCGCTCTGGCCTCCGTTACTTAAACCTGTCAGAAACAAACGAGTTCATTTAAAACGATTCACAAAGAAATTAAACAGGTGGCTTTAAAGGCTATCATCTTTCACAGAATTTGTTTTATGAGTAAATTTTTTTACGTTTAAATGCTTTTATCATTTCAAGTACTCGTGACACCGCACCTTCGTTTATTTCTTTCCTAAGGGCTATTTTGAGATTCTCGCTGGGGTTATACAATAGCATCAAAAGGGCAAAATAATTTAGCCTTTGGGCGTAAAAATTAACAAATTTTGACCGTTAATCGTACAAAAAAAAAATCCCTGAGAATTTTCCATTTAGCCACAAAGGAAAGAAATTAACCATTGGCCGTATAAGAGCCATTACTTCATTGAGATCTTCAGCAACGAAATACCGCGATTGTAATGGTCAGCAGTTGACATATGTGTTATGTAACATACACGGACCAAGTGTGCGAAGTTTGAATAAGCCTATGTTCAGGGAGGCCTTACTGTTCCCGCGTGAGAGCTCCACTAATACATCTGTGGTACTAACAGGGTGCAAATGAAAGTCAGTGACTGTTTACATGGTCTTGAATATAAATGGAGTGAAAAAATAATGTGCATCCGGGTCGTTCAAAGCGCTAAAGTTCGCGAAACTGATGGTAAACCGATAGGACTCACCACAACTCGTCTCGATCTAGGAACTGATAAAATAAAACGCCGTCTGAACCTGCGGTGGAAAATGGCATATAACATTGGGTTTAAGAAAAACGAAACTTTTGCAAAAACCTTACTTGCACTGATAGCTACAGGATTGATAAGTTTACCCAGCACCAGAAGGGAGGCAATTGTGATGTAAGGCGTCCAAGGAATTACAAAAGCAGCGATGATGGCGAGAAAGTACATGGCTGACTTGCGATGCTTCTTCAAAAGCACTTGCGTGGCGGTCATGGCCAGCCCACTCATTTGATGAGTATTTTGTATAATATGTTTGGAAACTTTGTGGATTTTGAAGTAGCAAAACATGATCACAGCCAAGGGTAAAAGATAACAAGTAAAAATGACAACTCCAAAGTATGCCTTATCAGTTGGATGAGATGAATGCCATTTGATTGAGCACGTTATGTTTGTTCCTTCCAAACCATACCCTGACCATCCTACCAAAGGTGCCAAACTGAAGCAAAGTGAGAAAATCCAAGAGGCCAAGATTATGAGTAGTACTTTTTTCGTGTTAAAGTAAGAGTCCCTTGAAAGAGATCTAGTGATAGTAAGATACTTTCCAGCTGAAATACAGGCCAAGTGAGTAATGGAAACCAGGGTCAGTAAAAATATCAAAAAGGCGTAAGCTTGACAACCAGCCTTACCAAAGGGCCATTCTTTTAAGAAGTACTTTGCTATCGAGAGAGGAACAGACGACGCACACGAGAGAAAATCGCTCACTGCAATACTGAAGATGAGATACGTCTGCGCTGATATCCGCCTGTGCTTATTTCGGAAAATTGTGAACATCACGATGCCATTAAGAATAATTCCTAAGAGGCACACCAACAGCTGAGTAATTGCGAGAATTGTGTTCCATTTTTGAGTGGTAGTCATCTCTCAGGATTTTTTCTTGATGGTCTATCTTTGTCAGCGATTCAGTTGGCAAAAAGAAGATCTTGCGTCATTCAGGGCTTCGCGCTTTCTTCTTCTTTATTATTTCAATTACCACTTGTTTCCATGCTATGTTTTCTTTTTTTCGGGAAGTTATCACTCTACACCCACCAAGATTTAACAAAACATATGCATTCAAATATACAACGGATATCATTTATCAAATGATTTTAAGTCTTATTGCTATGAAACCGCCTACATGGAGCACGAACACTCGTGTATTGAGTGCAAACACGTGCTCTCCATCCGGGTGGCTGTTTTTGCACGTGGTAGGCTACTGCGTCTTCTCCCAGCTAGTGGCGACATGTAAGCTGTATAGGCTACTTTCCAAAGCTTCGAATTTCGTAGCCTACCATCTCGGCGAACCGGGGATTTACTAGGTAACTGTGTAAGACATCGTCTCAGTCAAACCTCTTTCAGTAATCACAATGAGAATTCCGCGCTGAATATACAAATACATGTTACATAACACATCATAATATTGATTTGCAGCCTTGTTTCAACGACTCGTGGTTTTCACCAAAGTCAGTTAATATTTTTACTTGTCGTACATTAAACATAAGCAAACTATTTTATAATCATTTTTTAATAATTTTTTTACGAATGATGACAACCTAATTGTTTTCAACGAATGAGACGGTTGAAGTCATGAACACAAAATTTATTCATTCAAAAAGGTTTTTAAATGCGAAACTTTCAAAATTTTTGTTTTAGCTTTTTAACTTGTTGTTAGTTATAAAATGAAAAAGGACTCTGAAATGATTCAAATCATTTCAACCGACGTCGAAAAAAATAAAAGTCGTTTGCAATATCTCAAAAAAGAAAACGAAATAATCAGGATGTATTTTACCGCCTCTTGCCGCACGACTTGATGAATGGTTACGCACATCCACACGTGAGCAGCGCCTCTCTGAGTGCACTTACATAATATTCTTTCAGAAATAGGCTCCTTAATTGATTTATCAATAGATATCGATGAAAGGGATGATGGTGCAATTATCAAAGAAGAAACATCCTCTTTGACATCAAACTGGGTAAAGGGGTCAGATTCACCAATTAAGTTCGAGGATCCGCTGTATATGACCTCAGGATGTTGGTTGATGGCTGTGATCACGTGACGCGTCTGTAGAAGCCCCCTTCGCTACAATGGTCGACATGCAAACTTTTACCTCGAGAAACGTTCGCATAGGGGAAGTTTTCTGTACAACTCCTAGCACTGAGCTCTCAGTACGTATTGTATGTGGTTATGGTGTGATGACTAGAGCTAAACAAAAGCGTAACGCGATCGCCAGTTTTGATGCTCAATCAACATGATCAACTCGTTTTACGCCTGCGCGGCTTGCCTAATTGGAATAAAGTCAAACCTACTCGTTCTTCTTCTTATGATTTGCTTCACTTAATTACTTTTCTGAGCAAATTTAACAGTTATTCACCAAAATGCAGGTGAATGGTGGCGAATATTTACCGAGCCGCAAAGCGGCGAGTTACAAATCCATCATTTTCACCGACAGAGGTGAATAATTGTTTTAGTATATACCAAATAGATACCAAAAAAATAAGTTAATTTTTTCCAATGTATCAAAAAATGGTCGGAAATTAAACTCTTGACGCGCGATTTTGTCTCACCGGCTGCAATTAGGCGAATAGTACTTGAATTTAGCCTGCGTAAAGAGCACTACTCACTTGTGTTGTACATAGAGAATAATGCGTGGGCGCGCGTAAATATGGAATTTCTCTTCGAATGTTCAACTCGATAGCTAATGAGTGAGTGCAGCGAACGAATGAGGTGTCTAGTTGAACACCAGAAGAGAAATTCCATATCTACAAGCAACGATGTATATTTTGTTTATCATATTAACACAATAGCCCCTTACTGACAAGAAAAGTCGACTTTATTAACGGATGAAAATAAAAGGATCGACAATCTCCGAATGTATATTGTAAAGTGCGTTGGCACTATGGCTGAAGATAAAAAAATGTCTTGAATCATTAAAAAAACAAACAGTGGGCATAGCTTTCAATGTACAAAATTCTCAGTTATTGACTTTGTCCATACCGACAGAAGAAATTTTTCAGGTACGCGGCAAAAATCGGCAGATCTACCAGCAGTCGATTTTTGTTCCCAACAACCTTCTAAGAAAATTTGAACGTCACTGCCTATAAGCTTTATGGATTTTTCAGTGTTTTAGCGACCATAATCCGAGAAAATTCCGACAAATGGATTGAGAATGGTAAAGGATTTGCCGTTCATTCATCAACTTGACTGACTGGCGCGAAAGGCAAGTGATATGTCATTGGCGATATCAAACACGCGTGAAAATATATCGTACTTTTCATATGGGTTATTACGGCTTTTCTCAGGGCTGGAAATCCTTTCATACTACCGTAGTTTATATGATAAATAAAGGATATTACATGGCTGCTTGGGGATACGAATTTTATCTTCTCGTGCTGAAAGTATCTCTCACGAGTGAGCGAAACGAACGAGTGAGAGATACTTTCAGCACGAGAAGATAAAATTCGTATCCCCAAGCAGCCATGTAATGTTCTATTTACTTTATTTATACTAATGAAATTTCAAGAGAACCGGCCGTGTGCCTGAGCGGGAAGCTCTCTTGTAATTGGCTAATCATGTTAATAACCATGATGACACCAATATTCCTTACACGTGAAGGATAAAAATAGTATCTTCACTGCGCGCGATGAAGATATGATTTTTTTAGTAAAAGAAAAAATCCTGGTATTTATTACAGTATCTATATAATAAATATAAAATAATACATGAGCGCGCTGTGGTAGCCCAGTCATAAAACGCCTTTGTTTTTTTGTCGCCTTTTTTTTCCTCCACCACAAAATGGACAAATTGCGCAATAGTACCCAGTGGTCATTGGGCCCTCAACACCATGACAACTAACTGTGATCCAATGAGGGGTATAGGTGAAGGTGTTCATATGCTGATCACGTGCGTTATCTTAATGATGATTAACGTTGTCATGCACGGACAGGGCCGGGCCACATGACGAACCACGAGATTTTTGCTTATAAAACTCCTTTGTCAGTCATTTCGTATTTGTTCTGGGGTTGTTGTTTCAGCGATGGAGGTTCTACGTTTTTGGTTTACAATTACCTGGAGCTTTATGGTGCAAACGCTGAAAATACTTACAGAGGCATACACAAGTCGTATTGTTCGCGGCCAATCCACACTAAAAGATGTTATTGAACGGTATTTTTGGAACGGATTGAGTCGCAAACGCTTGAAAGCCATGAAAGCATTGTATGCCTTATATGCCTTATATGCCAAGTATGCCAATGTCTTAGTCAAAAAACGTACACTTGTTGAAAAAAGCAAAATCTGAAATCTGAAACCAAACTGCATATACTATTTGCAATCTATTGAACAACACTACTACCATGAGACTGAAGAACAAAACTCTAATGGTGCAAACAGCTTGTGAAGCAAGAAGCCATAATGGATTCACTTGATGCCAAGGAACGTAGTTACGATTACAGTACGAATGGTATTAATTTCACGATCAGAAAAGTGAATCTTATGTTTGTTTTCACTGAAGTTGTATGGAAATTCTTTTTTAATAAATACGTGATCCAAAATCCTGTGTTTTTTTTGTGTATAATGACAATCTTTTTTGAAAAAAGGTGTCTGCCCTAAGCCAGACTTGAGCTCACTATTTCAGTTTACTAGTCCGACACCTGCAGTATCATTACGCTTAATCCCAAGGATCCAGTACCATCCAGGTATCCCAGTTACCTTGCTCACAGGGTCTAGTTTATCATATAAACACAATAGCCCTTTACTGAGAAGAAAAGCCGACTTCATTAATGTGAATCGATAATCCCCGAATAACAATCGCCGAGTGCGTTGACGCTAACTCTTAAGATGGAAAAATGCGTTGAATCATGATTACAAAAGCAACAATTGTCGTAATTTTCAATTTACAAAATTCTCATTTATTGACTTTGTCCTTACCAACAGAAGAAGTCTTTCGGGTAAACGGTCAAAATCGGCCTGTGACAAATCTTCCAGTTGTCGATTTTCATTCTCAGCCGAGAGAAATGCTGACATCAAAGCCACGCAACTTTCGGTTTTTCTTTTAGTATATTGGTTTTCTTCCCCTTCTAGGAAAGTTTGAACCTCACTGTCTGTCAGCGATACGGATTTTTTAGTGTTTTAGCCGCCATAATTCAAGAAAGCTCCGACAAACAACTTGTATTTAGAATCGTGAAGTCTTTGCCGTTCCGCAAAGTGGCGCCAAAGGCGAGTGATGTGTCAGCAGCTGATTGGCTGTGTCAACACACGTGAGAAAGTACGATATTTTTTCACGTGTGTTGCCACCGCTTTTCTAAGGGCCGGAAATCCCTGTATAACACCGCAGTTTATGTGATAAAAACTAACTTCTGATATTTCCTTTTGTGGGGAAAAAGATCTCACTCATTTTTTATTTCTCATTTTTTTTGAAGAACAACTTTTATTTGCTGATAAAGTTCATACATTGCATCGCACAAAGTGCACTCATGGAAAGAAGATGAAGTGGACAATAAAACAGAGGTCGTTTGTGGCTTCATGATCGACACAAACTGTTACCCAGGAACATAATAAATAAGGACGAACACGTTCTCTTTAGTCCTTTTTTTCAGACCTCATTACGATGTTTTCAATTTTTCGTTTATACAACTCCATGCAATTAATTACCATTTAATTCATGCTTGCTGGCACGGTTGACACTCACAGGGGTCAGCAAAATAGAGAACCAAGAAATTGACTGTACGTATTCAAATATCTAGAAAAGAAAGAGTTTAATTTTATCTTTAGAGAGCCAAGGTCTGCGATACCGGGGTTAATACCACTGACCATGGTTTAACACTCCGATTCCTCCTAATCAGAGGAACCAGATGAATAAAACGTCGGCGGAATTTACTGTGCAAAATTCCGTAAAGCATTGGATTAAGGAAGAACGATATTTTGGCAAACACGCTACAGGCACTCGTAGCTATGGGGTTAATTTTTTGACCAATAGCCAAAAGAAATGCAACCGTGGCGTAAGGCAACCATGGGATCAAAAATGCGGCTACGATGGCAAGAAAGTACATGGCAGATTTGCGATGTCTTTTCATGAGAGCTCGAGAAGCAGTTATTGTTATTCCCCCCCTTCGTGAGGTGTTTACAACAATTAGTCTAGATACTCGATGGATCTTGTAGTAGCATGATACGATCACGAATAAGGGCAGAAAGAAGCAGGATACGATAACAACTCCAAAATATGCCCGATCACTAAAAGCAGATGACTCCCACTGAACTGAACATGTCACATTGATCCCCTCTAAACCATATGAGGACCATCCTAACAAGGGTGGCACACTGAACATAAGAGAGTAAATCCACCAACCCACAATTAGCAATAATACGTTTCTCTTGTTGAAATATGAATCCTTTGAAAGAGACTTGGTGATTGTTAAGTACTTTCCCAATGAAATTATCGCCAAGTGAGTGATTGAGACGAGAGCGAGAAGAAAAATCATGAAGGCATGGACCTTGCAGCCAGTTTTACCGAGTGGCCAGTCTCCCTGGAAGTGCCGCGCGATTGCAAGGGGTACAGCCAACGCACATGAGAGGAAATCACACACCGCCATACTTAAAATGAAATAACTTGGGGCTGAAATTTTACGATTGGTATTTTTACCAAAAGTAAAGATCACGATTCCATTCAAGACAATTCCTAGTAAGCACGCGAAACTTTCTGTAAACATGAAAATTGTGCTCCATTTGTCAAGAAGTACCAGCTGGTTCATATTTCTCGCCTGTATTGTCACACTGTAGGATTATTACTGTCAGCTACAAGTGCACATTTCTATGAGCTTAGCGTTTGAACAATGTACCTGAAATCATCTTCTATCAACTTTAGGGGTTTATAAATTAGATTTTTCTCACCATAGCAAGTAGAGGCACAAATGATATCCCCCTCAGAATTTAAAGAGAGATATCACTAGCTCTGACTTTACAGACGGAATAAGAGAAACGGCTTTATCCCTGTCCAATAATCTGGTTGTATTTCACCTGTTTCTTATTAGTTCCGCCAGCAACGAATTCATTCAGTTTTCTTAATAGTTGTCTAGTCTGGTATCAATGGGCTAAAGGAATATTGCACGAGATATTTTAGGATCTTGGGAAAAAAAATATTTAATCACATTGTGCTCAGTTGAACTCTGGACTCAGTAGTACTAACTGTGACAATGCTGTTATAATTATGCTGAGAAATCAGAATAGACGAAAGTGAGAACAGTCTCATATCGATCAAGCGTGGGTGTGTTTATATATCAGTGTTAATTTTTTCGTGCCATAATTTTTTGAAGCATAATAGGGGAGCCGGAAGAACCCCGAGCGATTGAACCTATTGCCTCTTGAAGCGATATATATATATATATATATATTTTTTGTCCAACTGCACTTAGTAGGGTACAAAAAACGCGCGAATAGAGTATAAAGATCTTACGATATGGTTATTTGGACAGTTGGTTATTTTGTACTGTAAAAAAACCTGTTTAACTAGTCGGCTGCACGCGCTACGCTTCTCTATCCTCTTTGCATTTCCCGCCTTATGAGAAATGAGCAGAAAGACTTACGGGCTCGTCAAAATACGGCACAACTCTTAAAAATACTCAGCGATACTACACATCAAAACGTCTAATAAGATATATATTCAATGTTTGTATTTCCAGCTTTTGTCTGTCTGGAGATTATCTTACCTTTTGCATAGGATAATTTTAAAAAGTTTTTCGCGGCTTTCAGTTTGCCAGTCTAAACGAAAAATTGCTCCCCCAAGGCAAGAGAAAACCACGGAAACGAAAATGGTAAAGCATCTTTAACGATCCTTTAAGTTTGATATATCACGCTTTTCTTAGCTAAACATTGAATAAATGTGATATTAAAAACAAAGCGGAGGACTATCAAATCAGTATTAGGATATATTCTGGACCTGATTATCATACTTTACAATTTGCCGCTGGTTTACCGGAGGAAGATTCGAGATCAACGGTTCGAAAACGCATGCGCGCTTAGTTAAACCATCAATGGGAAACCAGAAATGTTTCCGCTATCGGATTTCTTAAGACATGCCGCAAGTCCTTAAATAAGCGCCTTCCAACAAAATAAACACCCCGCAAAATCACTAATCTCACGGCCTTTTTCCCTTCATTCTTATTAGTGACTACAGGGGATTTATTTTTCTTCTGTATTTGAATATTCTTTTACAATTTTTTGAGAAAAGTCCCCCTTTTTATTCCTTGAAGCTGACAGAAAAGTTGCAAAATGAAAACTAAATGGGTGTTCGCTAACAGGCAATTTTTTTAGTCCAATTTAGAGAGTGAAATTATTCACAAATTTGTTTGCTCTCTGACAGTCCGTATTCTGTAACCTGGGCACAAATTAAACAATGATCCACACTCAAATTAACATTTCTCAGTTCTTCCCGGTTATGTAAGTAGATGTTTGATCCAAGAATCCGGTAATAGCCAATAATCTAAAAACAGAATGCCATATAAGCTATCAGTTCGAATGTTATAAGACATTTGATTTCTCGAGATAATTTTCTTGACGTAATCTTCTCCCCAAAAAGTAGCCAAACGTGTTACCGGTTGCCCACAATAATGATGTCAGTTTTCCGTGATAAATAAACCTAAGGAGTTCTTTAGTAAAAAAAATATCCTGAATATCAATGCTTACAATGCTGTGTACTTAACAATTTTGCGATACTACACTGCACAGGGATCGCTTTATACACTGCAACTAGTCATACGACAATGAAAAACTAAAATGAAAAAAATAGGGAATTGAGAACTTGTGGCCGTTTTTAGAGGGCTATAGTAGATTAACTTGATAACGTGGGATTAGCTCGTTCATCATTTTTGTCGTATGTAAGTTTTGTGGAAATGTAATATCGTGATGCCTGTCTACGTTGGCCCAATGCAATCAACTCCACTTACGTCACAGTAAAAGGAATTTCAAAGCTGTCCGCATAAATCTCACATAACTCTAAATATTCAAAATTAGTTAGACGCATCCGAAAAATCTTGCACCAATACATAATTCATCAGGGTTGGAAGTCACAACACTCTTTTGCGACTGAAGTGAAAAAAGGCAAAAAAGAGAAAAACTAGACGTTATGGAAATTACAAACCAAATTAAGTGATGTTAAATAATTTAACTGTGGTCTTCGAACTTATAAAGTTGTAGCTCGTTTATTTTGCGTTTTGGAATATTAAGTTTGAATTAATGCAAGCGGGTTTCAATATCAAACCAGAAAGCGACGTTAGCTTTCACTCCTATTTTTTGCATTATGTTCATGATTATTCGCAAGTTGCGAACACTATCAACGATTGCATTCTGTGTTTTTACCATATATGCGATGATCAACATGATAACATTTTTCGAAACTGAGGAGTCCGCCAAAAGAGGTACTGCAAGTGGTTACTATGTTTAATGTTTGTAATCGAGGAAGATTTCTGTTTACTGAAAGTTAGTTTCTTACTTTTCTTAAAAGGAAAGGAAAAACTTATTGCTGACTTATTTCCTTCTATGTTTGAAGTCCTCAAAATTTTATAAACAGCAATCACGAAGTTTATTCATTTATCAATTATAAGTGTTTCTTCATATCATCTCAGATTCCCTATTGAAATATCTAATTTTTCCTGAAATTTTCAATGATAGATTATATTTCAACTCTTTTCCTTAATTTTTCAATATATTTCAGTTCTTCGCTTCCACGAGGCCTTAGATAGAAATTGGATGGCAGATGGAGAAAAAAAGGTGACTTCTTAATTATTTTGTGTTGGGATGAAAATAAGAAAATTGTTCTCTTTATTTCTCGCTTCTTTTGATATGATATGATTAATTGATATTTTCTTTTTGACATTCTCTTAAGGAAGACATATTGCATTCAGGGATTGAAGAGAGGCAACGTGACTTAAGACGGCTTCTGATCAATTATTGTCGGGCAAATAAACACAAACGTGGTTTGCCAAGCTTGTATCGCTTTCAAGTGATCGAGTCTCCTCCCATCGTCTTCTGCATGGTCCCTAGAATAGCAAGTCGTCAATGGAGGGCCACATTTAAGCAACTGAGACAACAAACAGGGCAATTGTTGTCAAATCTTGATCAATACGTCTTCACAGATGTTTGGAATTACCTCCATAAATCATACAAGATCATGTTCGTCCGAGAACCTTTTGATTGGTTATTGTCAGCTTACAAGGACAAGTTTGCATCTACGAGAACAGTGGATCGATACATGCTGGAGACGTATGGCAGAAAAATCATCAGAAAGTTCCGTCCGAATGCCACCAAAAGAGCTCTGGAAGTGGGCGATGACGTTAAATTTCCGGAATTCATAGAATATATTTTAAAGGAAGGCATACATGAGCAACTCAACTGGCACTGGAATACTTACGATGACCAGTGTAGGCCCTGCAGCGTGGACTTCAACTTCATCGGTCGCTTTGAGTCCCTTTCCCGAGACGCACGATATGCGTTGAAGAAAGCTGGAGTTTTAAATTTCACACAATTTCCAACAAACAGTAATTATCCTAAGAGGAGAGACGAACTGATAAAGCATTATTCTCAGATCCCGCCCGAGTGGATTATGGAGTTGGGTCGTGTTTACCGAAGCAGTTTCGAAATGTTTGGGTATCCGTTTCCAGGTCCTCTCAAGGTCCTTTTAAAAAACGACACTGGTCAAACGGGAAATTCTGGTCACTCTGGAATTGCAGGTCAGACTGGTAATCCTTAAGGAGTCGTTTACCTTATTTTCTGAACCAGCCTTTACATTTCACTAACAAGAGTTCTGGATAAGAAGTACATGTAGCTATACTGAAAGTGTGATTGAGTCGATGAAACAGCCTTTGAAAAATCGTTCCTGCTACAAACTAAGCCAAGATTTATATTTCTGCGCATAAAAGATCGTTTACAATAAAACGACAAAAATGAGACTGTAATGAAGAGGGAGTCAAGTTCCTCAAAGCACGATAAGCAATCGTTCAGATCTAACTGCCTATAAAAACGAAGATTTCAATGCCTGTGCATTCAGCCTGGGCTAGAGTTCATAGAGTTTCGTCAACCATCCTACTCGGAACATTAGTGGTGGATTTAATTATGAAAATGAGTCATTTTTAGTCATCTTCATGGTTGTTTGGTATATTTTAAAATCTTCATCATCGATTCTAAAGAATAGGTGGGGTGTTCGAGCCTCCTTAATTGAGCTTATCAAAAAACAAAAAAAAAGTAAGCGACGGAACGATAATAACAGTACATCAATTGTTACTTGTAGATATGGAATTTTCCTTCTTATGTTCAACTCGAAGAGAAATTCCATATCTACGCTTGCCCGTATATTAATCCTTATATATCGGTATGATAAGTACAATACACGTAATAATAATGGCACAGAGTCACTTTGGGACTGCTTCACAAGTAGTGCTTCACAAGGCAGTGAGATTTTAACCAAGATTGTAACCAAAACAGCACAGTCATTGAATAACCAATGTAATAAAGAGACAGGAGCTTAGAGTTTCTATAGCAACGTGTAAGTATTAGTACGAGCCTGTTTCTTTTATCGTTAAGAAACCAAATCTTCCCCCAAACATAGTCTTCCCTAAGCCTCAAAGCATTTCATTCGACTACGTTTGGCCTAACTATTTACAAGAAATTATTAACATTTTCTTGATCACTACTTAAGAGTCAGCTTCCCGGTGGTAGTTCACTACTCAAAGGTATTTTTTAATCAACCACAAGAAAGCATCGTGTCTTTTCAAAGCAGCTTAACGGTTCACTCGTAACTCTCTAAGGGAGGAAAAAGTTCGACGGTCAAAATGTCACGTTCGTAAATTGCGACGGCTGGATTTAAATTTCTATCGAGACCATGATCACTGGAGAGAAAGCGAAAGTTGCGCTTTGAACTTCAGTGTTTACCCAATATTGAAAAGCACATAAATCTCAGTCACTTACAACTCTTACTGATAACTTCACATCGAGCTTGGAATCCTCTATAGCTGGTGAGGGAGTCTGATCTAAACTGCGGCATCCACAGAGAGCAATCACTGAATGTAATAGCTGAAGCAGAGTTTCTACAATAGGTTTCCTTCTGTAAACTTATCGACGAGGAACCATCTCAAACCCACCCTCGAGTTTAAAGGTGTCGAAGGACAGTCTGATTCTTTTCCTTGGATGGTGCAGTAATCTTCTAAGTGCATATCATGTTAAAAGGATAGTTGGTTAAATGGTCTGGACTTCTGAATATCCCTGCGGAGGAACTGCTCAGCTCTAAATTGTTAAAAGGATAGTTGGTTAAATGGTCTGGACTTCTGAATATCCCTGCGGAGGAACTGCTCAGCTCTAAATTGTTCGAGAGCGCAGTTGCCCCGACAAACGAACTGGAGAAACGAATAGGCCGTAAGGTTAGTAGGTGCTACAAAACAGCGTGAGTTGTTTGAGTACTTGAAAGTAAAGTTGAGGAACGTGAGCTTATTTGTAAAGACGTTTGTTAGATTAGACCGACCGGCATGTGAATTTAAGTAAAGAATTATATTTCGTTAATAACGACCAAGAACGTGCTGGTGGGATATCGAGCTAAAAAACAACCATCTACCAAACTCGATTTTAAAAGACTACGAGTTATCTTATCAATTAGTTACCCAGGGTTACAGCTCTATACTTAGCTTGGAACTTCCTCGTTGAAGGAGAATAGTCCGAGTCACCAACAAACTCGACGAAAAGGTACTTGTAACTGGAGATAATCACCTTCTTCCACCAAACCTGCCCATCAAATTCGCCGTCGCGAACCTCCAAGTAGTCATCTGTATGAGTAGTTTTTACTGCCGATGAAACGATCGTAGGAATAGTAACTCGAAAATGATCTTTTGTAATCTACGCAAACCAGGAGTAGATCAGAGGAGAATAACGTTTGTTAAGAATCTATAATTAAAAGAAAAATCTCATTAAAACAACTACCTATTTCTGGATTTTTCAAACTACGGGCAACTTAAACGCGATTGATCTCGAGAGGCAAATATCCCCTAACGAGGATTGAAGAAATCACAAGGAAAAGACATCTTGTAGTAATACTTACGACGAATTGCGAATATCGAGTGGCAAAGGAAAAGTAAAAGAGATAACTGATCAGTCTAATTTCTGATCAGCTCAACGACCTCCATCGCATTTACCCTTTACTAATCTGCATTGATAAAAAGATGGTTGATAAAAATTTAGTGGTTTCGGCGATTTTTTGCGAAATGTTGCAGTTTCTAACAGACTCAGATGCTCCTTCAAGATTTTAGGATATGCATCACAGGCAGTGCGAAGAATCGATATCGTGACCATTTTGCTGATATATTGATACTTGCATGCGTAAAAAGATACACATCACACCATTTTTTTAACTCCTCAGATGTAACAGCCAATTGGGAAGCCTGACTGGCTTCCCAATGAGTGTCGTCTTCAACAAGGTAGTTGTCGTTTTGATCCGGTTAGACAGGTTTTCAATAAAAACTAGTTACCGGCGTTTTATCGGCTCTCGTGTCTCCTTCTATCATCGTCAGTTTAATCCTTTAAAGCCTAACATCAGTATGCATATTTCCCTTTCTGTTCCTTATACGTTTCCTTGGGTGCTGACAAGGAGAATTTGTATAACAATCAAGAGCTTCTTTAGTTGGAGATCATTTTCTTTATTCTCGTGACCTTTATGTGTGATTAAGGGGTGATAGTCTAAGGAGAAATTATATACTTGTTACTCTTAGGAGTCAAAAGGGTTAACCTGCGAGTAAGCTCTCGTGTTTTGGTTTCGTGGGCATTGCTGCCTATTACACCATCTACAGACGCTCATGAAAAAAGTTTTGTTGAACTCCCCAGGATAGCTCTTGTCTTATCTTTCAGCCCTGGTTTTAAAGATGTCAGTCTCTGTCGCCTGGATCGTGTTATACCACACGAACACCTCTAATTATTCATTTAAAAGATGAAATAATAAGAAATCAAATAACAAACAAACGGATAAAAAAAGAAGAAAAACAAAAAAAGGTAATCAAAAAATGACAAAGACAAAAGTAAAAAAGGAACAAACCAATGATAAGTAAACGTAGTTTACTGGGGCGAGTTAAATATGGAGCAACGCCATCGTTATTAATACACAGTAAATTTGCACACATGTAATTCAAATTGTTAAACATTTTTTCAACCTAAAAACCTTAATTCTAATTGATTTAAATGAATTGAACAAATCAAATTTGTTTCCCACACAGCTCATTCCTCACCCTCTGAGTGCCCTCCCACACATAAATTCTTTACTGTACAAAAATTTAATCTAATTATAAAAAAGCCTGTGCGCTTCGAAGAATTTTTTTAACTCCTAAACTGATTTATAAAATTATTCAATGACTTCTAATTGTTCCCACCAATTGCGTAGCTCTATCTGTAGACAGTCGTTTCGAGAAAGGTTATCGGGAAAAGAGTGCACGCGACAATCTCGAGAGGTAACCTGGATATCTGGTGATATTATTATATTCATATATAACCACTATGCCTTTTCCTTACAGTGACGTTTTTTTCCTAAAATTCTGAGGTCAAGTAACCGTGACCTAAAACCTACCTACAACGCCTTTCAGGGTTGTCGTGTGCACCTTTACGCTCTTACACAACCCATAATTCCTCTGTTCACGCTCGAAATTCTCTCCGGAGGCCAATTCACATTATCAACTCGGTTGATAAAAAAATTTCTTGTGATACCCTCACCGACGCACATACACCCCAAATCTTATCATCATCATCATCATCGTCGTGATCAACGTTATTATTATTGTAATCGTATTATCGTAATCGTTTAACTGATAAAATATAATTCGAATATATATCAAAATCATGTTCGTAGAACTTATCAAAAAATGGTAGGAAAATATTTAATAAAAAAATAATATAAACTCGACTTAATGCGCAAGAAAACGCTAGCACACAAGTTATAAATACCATTATTTTAATTATGTTTATCGTTATCATCTTGACGAGTTCAACACTCTTATTAATTACCACGCCCCTCCAGAAGGAAGGTCTTTTTTAACCAATTGTCCTAAAGCGAACTTCGTCCCTGTGGAGAGTCGCTCCTGGTTCAACTCCTGTCCATCTTCAGACGTGCGAGGCATGGTAGACATCAGGATTGAAAGAGGAAGATTTTTCTCAACTTTCTGGCCATTTTCAAGCACAGTGGCTCTGTCAAGTTGGAGATAGAAACATTTTATGAGATTTTCACGCACACTGTAGAATTTTTACTCGATAACTCATTGATTCATTAATTGCTCCGCGCCTGTTCCCGAAGCTGCATCTGACAAACATCTCTGCAAAAGTTTCTGCACAACAACACACACGTCTACAGTACGTGTTGCAGCTCTGATAAACAAGACCTGCTTGCTTACTAGTTGTAAACCGAGAGGCCATACTTGAGTATTATAGGATCCATTTCACGCAACTAACTTAATATATCTTTGTGGTACTGGTCTTGACTGGCCAAAGTCATCACTTTGCACCACTTCTACAATAGTAGCATGGTCTACCCAAGCCGAAGCATCGAGCTCGTCTTTATCCAAGATAAGCTTCTTCTGTAAAGTTTGTCGGTCTTCCTTAGCCTTGGCCTGGTAGTACACTACGATATGGTGCCTCACAGGCAGACCAATCGACAGAACGGGAGGAAACACAGACTGCAAATTCACACAAAAAAAATTTACACGGTTGAGTATTCCGTCTGCCTACTGGCCTTTTACTGCCACGGCTCATCCAAGTTTCATTAGCATCAGTGACTACCAATATTGCTGCTACTCCAGGAAACCACCCTCCCCACCCTTTCCTCCCACCACCCTCTCCTCATAACCTTTTCAAGTGAGAATTCTTTTCACCCTTGTTGCTGTAGGAGTTTGTTTATCATGACAACGTGTGCATAGTTACACTTCAAAAGTGAGGTTTGGTGGTAAATAAGCCATGCGAGTCTGACATAGACATGCATAGAGGCAATTATGTGATAATCTTCAGTTCAAATATCTCCATTCTATGGCCATACGATAATTCAGTACTAGGTATACCACTTTGGGCATCTTGAAATACTTGCTTAGGCACAGATTAAGCCACATTTTAAAATAAAAGCTCACTGTACAATAAGGACTGTACATCATGCAACTAGTATGAAGATAAAATGTATATACAATACCTCCCACAGACCAAGTGTTGAGATTTCGAGGCTTTCCTTAGAAAAAGTCAATCCAGTTTCCTCTGAGAGTTCTCTTAGTAGAGCTTGTTTAAGCTGTGAAAATGAATAAATTGATAAAAAAAAGTAATGATCTGAACTCAGAAGTTAATTGGCCATTGATTGTGTACAGCAGGGTGACCATCACGGGGAAGGAGGTCATGAGAATGAACTGTTGCCCTCTGTAGCATTGCATCACATTTAACAATCTTAACAACTCAAGAGTCTATGATGTGAGAATAACTTCCCAACAGAATGTCAAGATGCCAGAGTATTCATGAGCAACAATCTTTTAAGAGCTACACTCACCCAGACAATCACACAATGTGGGCAGTTAATTATTACAAGATTTAATTACATTTACAGGTATTAATTCAAATTAGGAAATTGCTAGACTATTCACATGTAACAAATTTTGTACATATTACATATTAAACCTCATTGTATCAGATGCAATAAATTATGTATACAGTGTCTAACTTATTCAAGAAAATTATCCGCATTCTGAAACCATACATGATACTCTTTAAGTGTGTGTGCATTAGTAAAATATTCAGATCAAAATCCCAGCCTACATAATTCCCAAACAGAAATTGCTTCATAATATGGCCTCCCATCTTAGAGCATTTCTGTTCCTCTTTTTTTTGTTTTCTTTATTCTTTGTCTGTCTGTCTGTGTTCAACCATCTAATCATGTCTGTCTCTCTGTCTTACCATCTAATCATTTGTCTGTCTGTCTGTCTGTCTGACCATCTAATCATTTGCCTGTCTGTTTTACCATCTAATATTTGTCTGTCTGTCCTTCTGTCTGACCATCCAATCATTTGTCTGTCTGTCTGATCACCTAATCATTTGTCTGTCTGTCTTACCATCTATTCATTTGTCTTTCTGTTTGACCATCTGATCATTTATCCATCTTTCTGACCATCTAACCATTTGTCTGTCTGTTTGTCTGACCATGTAATCAGTTGTCTGTCTGTCTGTCTGTCCATTCATCTGTCTGCCTGTGTCTTTTTGTGTTGTTCACTGTGTTTGCTTCTTTTTTTTTGTTTCCTTTATTTTTTTATTACTCAACCTCAATTAAAGTAAACTTACAGTCTCTCCTGGCTCCATATGACCCCCTGCATTGAAAAAACAAAAACAAAAAAAAAGATAGTATAAACATAATTTATCTATCAATCATGCAAAATGCTTGCAACATCAGGCCTACAACACTTACAATATTCTGTATATACAATACAACAATATTCCCCTTGTTAATGGCTTCCTTTTCTCTTATCGCCTTTCTGTTCAAAAATGTATTGACACTGTAACAAGAAATTGCTCCATGGCCACTCCTGAGGGTGAGAGTGTAAGGGTCCACTCTTTCTTCATTAGCACAATACACGCTCTGAATTCAGTCAGCATCATCTCCAAGCAAGATTCTACAGGTGAACTCTACATAAATGTTCTGTGCCTCATATTTCATCCCTGGCATTTTGGATCTTTACATTACTTAGATTATTATTTCTGTTCTAAGCTGAACTAAAGTAAGTGCAAGTTCTATCACAGGTCAGTGAGAAAGCAATCTCTTAAGAGTTATACAGTTGTACTAATGCAAAATACACTGTATCATCTGATCAAGTTAGAAAGCATTCTCTTTAATGCAGTCTTGCCTTAATGTAAAATATATATGTTCATTTACCTGGGGGAACCCACACACATGGAAAGGTGCGCATGTGTTGTGCACGTCTTGTCAGCAACACATAACCATCTGATGACTGAAGCAAAACAGCAACTGCTGGTTTCACTCCTTGACTCAGGATATTTTCTGGAATGTTAGCAATGTCTGAGGCTGTCAAAGAACGGCAAGGGCATCCAGGAGGATGCTATAGGGAAATTTGAACAGAAATATCATGTATATAATTGTTTACTCTATAAGTACAATAGTAATCCTTTTAGTTAGTGCTCCAGTCTTTATCCATGGTTTCATAACTCAGTTGGCCAAATAAGTATCTGGGAGGCAAGTGTTCAAATCCTGCCTTCAAAGCCTGAATTTTTTCAAGCTTCTTGTATGAAATAACCAAAGTTGGAGCTCACCTTCAAGGATTACCTCTTGACTAAATCCTTTTAGTATTAATTACATAGAAAAATGAATGTTTTGATACACTATAGTTCAGTATTTCTTATTTTCTTTGTTTGATACTTTTTAAATACATCTTACTAACTGAGTTTGAGGTCAGTTTTGTAAGTTATGGACCATTAGCTTTTTAAGCTTGGAATTTGACATGGCCCAGCAGTGAAGCAAGAAAATGTAGTTAAATAAAGGGAGAAGATTTTATTTCAAACAAACTTTCAGATTTAAAGAACCACACAGTAAAATACAAGCCATCTAAAATTAATAAAGCATAGCACACATACTAGCTGAAAGGTGTAATAATGCTTGTTAAAACATTTGTTTAATCAGCTTACATCACTCCACAAGCTTCACTCACTGGATTTGTTCTCAGTTGCTGCAAGTTCAAATCCTCAGCTACTTTTTTTTATAGCTAACTGGTCTGCCTCTGGCCAGTTGGCAATTTTCAAACACTCTGCCTATTTACAATGTCCATTTGTTTGTATTGGCCCTGAATAGGAGTGAATAGTCAATTTATGTTATCCTTAGTATTATTATTATTATAATTATTATCATTATTGTTCTTATTATTATTATTATTATTATTATTATTATTATTAGCAGGCTTTGTGTTGGTAATCAAAATTGATTATATCTATTAATTGCATCTCCTTGTTATTTGTGTATTCCATTATTCTTTATGTTACTGCACCTTGATAAGCTCCAAAACATAAGCAAAAAATTCCAGTTTGGTAATTTTTATTTTAGGGACTGAATACATTGACCACTAATGACTGCTATTGAAGTATATGCCTTTTATTTGTATCTTATCATACAGATCTCATATGCACGATTTATTTAGTTATGCTCTCTAGAATTTATATTGTAAGTTTTCAATCACAGGTACTTAAGATTAGAGCAATATTATGTATCCAGTTATTTTACATCTATTTTGTTTTTTCTTGGTCTCTTGCTTGGCTTTGATATCAACTAACACATGTAACACAAGCCTTTAACTTTGCTTGGGAGGCTAGCTGGTAACCACTATCCAAGTATTTGACATTTCAAAAAACACTTAGTCCAACAAACAGGTAATGAGAATATATACATATATCTCATTAAACATTTTGGTGGTAGTACCACTGAATATTTTTACAAGCTGTTTTATATTTTGCCAAGCCCATAGGGCAAGTCAAAATACCAATAACAAGTACAGATACTCAGCAATACTTCAAACCCAAAACATCTAATAAGTGATTTACTATCCAACTTCTTTATTTCATGTGCATTTCTTATAAGGCTGACCCTGGTGGAAATCTTATTAAGATCTTGGAAGATCTTGTAAGATCTTGGAAGATCTTG